AAAAAAAAAAAAAAAAAAAAAAAAAAAAAAAAAAAAAAAACAATAAAAAAACCCTTTTTTTTTTTCAATAAAATTCAAATTTTTGTGATACCCATTTGAAAAAGTTTGAAGCTTTGCAATGTATGAAGCATTTCAAGACTTGGGTGGCAAGGAATTATTAAAAACACAAGAGATTTGTTATGATGTTCATGAAATGAATGGTGGTCAAAGGAAAAAAAAACGCTTACTTTTTTATTGATGAACAAAATTCCATACACTAAAAAATAAAGAGAAGAAAATGGCACACCTGGAAGACATTAGAAAGAGCGGCGGCGGCGTGGATTCTGCCGAGGGAGCGAGAGGCATCAATGGCAACTTGAGTAGCAAGTGCTTCTATAAATGGCTCCGGCCAAACCCCATTGGCGGCGCGGCGGCGGGAAGAAGAAGGAGTGTCAAAATCCCCTCGAGGCCTCCGCCGTCGGCCGCCGCCGGAGGAGGAGGAAGACATGGAAAAACAACGGTGAGAAATGGAAGAGGAGAGGAGAAAGAAGGACAAAAAAAGGTGTGGATAAAGACACCAAGTGAGGGCCCCAAAAAGGGAGTTGCGGATTCTTTGATATATATGAACACAAAAAACATACCAGAACCACCACCCCCCACCCTTGTGTTTTTTTTTTTTTTTTTTTTTTTAATATTTTAAATAATAATAATAATAAATGAAATAAATAAATAAAAAGTTGATTTTTACATGATTTTTATAATTATGAAATGGGGTTTTGATTTTGGGGACTGCAAAGACGGCGGCGTTGGGAAGAAGAAAGGAAAAACTGTTGTGTTATGTAAATTACCGATGTTTTTTCAGGTGCTTTTCTATGCGCATTTTTCTCTGCCCTATTGCTTTCAACAATTATTCACTTTCTTTTTTTTTTTCTTTTTTTTTTTTAATTTCTTATTTATTTTACCTCACTTGATGTGATTTCCAAGGAAATAAATACACTTCAAAACAATATTATTTTTAAATAATTATACTTTCATAACCCGAGCAACTAAATAGAGTTCACAATCCGATCATTCATTCTTCACTTGGGTTGTCAGGTTATTCTTCTTTCAAAATTATTTATGCTATATTAAATAACTAAGATCTTATAAAAATTCAAATATCAAACATTTATAAGCTACAATGAACCCCATATTTACCTCTGATATCATTTTGTAACCGTCTAAGTCCACCACTAACAGATATTGTCTATTTTGGTCAATTACGTATCATTGTTAGATTCATAGTTTTAAAATGCGTCTGTTAGAGAGAAATTTTCACATTCTTATAAAAAATGTTTTATTCTACTTCCTAGACCTCACAAACCCAACTCGATTTTTTAGTTTGGGATTGGTAGTTGAGGTTGACTGAGACGTTTTTGAGTCTGAGTCAAATGGATTTTTATTTTTATATTTTGGGAGTAAAAGTAGAGATTAATTAATTAATTAATGAAAAAAAGACGTCATGGAAGACTTGGAACTTGAATAGCCGTTTTTATTTATTTATTTATTTATTTATTTTTGGTTGGTAATTACTGGAAATTGTCTGTGGGTTTCTCACATGTTTTATCCTTTTATTAATGCAACCGAACCTGTTTTGGTTTGCTACGTTTTACCCGTTTTTTTTTTTTTTTTTTTTTTTTTTTTTTTTTTTTTGTCGCTAATATTTTTTATTTATAATTCATTATTCATTTTTTGGATTTAAATTTTCAAATCGATATCTATTTAATTTTTAAATTTTAAAAATTATTTAAAACATAGTTATTTTAGACGTAAATTTTAATTTTATATTTAATAGTTCAATTAAGTTTTAAATAATTTGTAGCACAACATTAATGGTTTGTAAGCCTATTTAATAAATAATAATAAATAAATTGACGGTATCTATTATTAATTCATGTAATGGATATTATAAATATTCATTATTTAATATCATTGACGCATCCTAATTATCATTTAACAACATCATGTCATTTTCTGTCATTTTTTAAACACAATGCAAATTAGCATACAATATCATTTTTAAGATCTATTTTGTTACCATCTATTTAACTCGGGTACAAATATTTTTTCAATACTTATTTAAATGAAAATATAACAAAGAAAATACTCTTAAACCTTCAACTTAAAAAAAAAATACATTTACCATTAATACAATATTTAAAAAATATCCCAAAACTTCAAAAATAGTATTAACATATAAATTACTACTATTAATAAATGTACGAAAATTGTGTATGACACCTTATGAATTATCTACAAACGTTCTAATGCTATTTTGTATTTTGATGATGGTAAACCCACTTTTTAGTTTTTTTTTAAATGTTTAAATTTTTATAAAAAAAAAAATTATAGGCATTTTTAATGTTGTTAAAAAAAATATTAATGAAAATTTTGAAAATGAAAGAGTATTTTAAATACTTTTAAAAGTTAATGAAAATTATATCTGAAATCATTTTGTATCTCTGAAATTTTCATCCAAAACGTATTTTTTAACTTTTTAAAAAGTTCTATTTTTTTAGACTCTTTGCAAATTATATATATATATATATAATTATGTATAATTTATTATTATTATTTTTTTTTTTCTTTTTTTTGTGGGTTTCTAAAAAAACTAATAGAATAGAGAGAAGAGGGGAGGAGGGTTTATTAGGGTTAGAGTGAGAGGTCAAAATCAGTCCTTTAAAATGCAGCTAAGGCTAAGGCTCTAAGGCTAAGGCTAATAGTAATAGTAATAGGGCTAAATTCAGTCCCATGGCTGCCTCATTGTACCCTCTCTACAGACCTCGCCATTTAGCCCACACCTGACTGCTTACGTTTACATTTATTATTATTATTATTTATTATTTTTTTTTTTTTAATTTCTTTCTTTTTGGGAATCTAACTCCTCCCCCCATTTTCAACTCTCTCCCATCTCAATTACATTTACACCCTTCTCTTCTATTTTTATTTTCTTTTTTAATTTTGTTTTTAATATCTATATCATAATTAATTAAACAAAAATTAACTATCAGATGTGATATCAGGTGAAATAATAAGAGTATGCGAAGAAGCTTCAAAAATTAAAGCATAATATTATTATACCGTATAATCTAAGAAATAAGAATGATACCTTATTCCTGGCCTTCATACTGGCCCAACAGTATTGGGTCAGCCCAATTTCACTGAAGAACTTTTCAGAGCCCAATTTACTAATGTGCCCACTGTGATAGATCATACGACTAGGAAAGATAGGAAAGAATTGAAAAATACTGTCTATAACCTTTCTTTTGTCTAGCTCAATCATGAGAACTCCGAGGTTAAGCATATTTTGCTAGGAGTGATTTACGACTTTCTAGAAATTATCACAAAATGCATGTAAGTGAAGATAAAGCATCCTAAAAAGACACGTTGTTCTGTATCATCACTAAATCTGGATTTCATATGTTTTTTTTTATTATTGAGATATATATGTTGAATAATATTTGCAAATGGCTAAAGATGAGAGTATGTATGAAGTATGTTATAGGTAGAATACCTATTTACCAGATATAATAGTATGCATGATTTAATAATGCCTGTATTTGCAAGACATTATTATCATTAGTTTCCTTACAAGAATTGAAAGAAAGTGAATTTATACCAACCAAATAATTGAATCAATTAAAGGCATAAACTTTGCTTAGTTTCATAACTAAGCAATAAGTGACATACCCTTAGAAAATTCAAATCTTTATATTTCGAAAAGGGGCATTAATCGTGCAAGATTAATGGTTGAATATAGCTCATTCCACTAAATACCCACTACTGCCATAGAGAACATCCAACAATACATGTTATGAAAAATCAATAATGAAATATGTTTGGTTTACAGAAGAAGAGGAGGAAGAAGAGGGGTTTGTGGTCGAAGCAAGGAGAAGCAGTTATGGGGAAGGGAAGATGTCATTATAAGATAAACATTTGATTTTAGAAGGATTGATTGTTATTTGGTTGTTTGTTTTTCAAGTCGTCTTCTGTTTACCTTTTCTATACTTGCTCTTTCGTTTTCTTCATGTTGTTCCCAAGCACTTATCTTTATGTGTTTGGGCACCAACACCCTTCTTTATATCTATTATTTTAGTTAACCCATTATTAATCATCATTCATTTTCTTTCTCTCCTCACTTTTACCCTTCAATTATCATCATCTTCCTTCTTCTTTTTAAGACATTATTAGAGGAGGCGAGGCGGTTTGTTCATGTCTCTTATTTCAAGCTACTCAATCTTCTATTTTGGAGCGGAACGAACCATACTCTTCTGAGCTATACTTAGATTAAACTTTTTATTTCTCGTACTTACACGGTTCCTAATAATCATCTGGCTGGTTCCCTAGAAAAAGCATAAGATTTCCTATTACTTTTTGTCTAGAGCTCAGGACACAATCCTTAATCATCATTAAGGGGTCTCTTAAGAATGATATTCCAAAGACTTTGAAGCCCTTGATTTTACCCTAAAGCATATCAATGGTAATACATTTCCTCATAATGATATTCCAAAATACCCTGAAGCTCTTTTTCTAAGCACTTGATTTATCAATAGTAATACACTTCCTAGAACATAAAATCCAATCCCTATTTGATTAAAAAAATCTGAACTAATTTCACAGGTCACTGTTAAACTTGTTTGTAGCGACCTAGTAATAGTATATGTTTTTCTGGCTAAAATATAGTAGGTTTTGAAACTTATCAAGACCTATGTTATATGCAAAGAATCGGAAATCTACAGCACTTTTAGTACATAAATAAATTTAAATTCAAAATCGTACAAAAACAAATATCTAAATACAAAACCAAATCACGTGCATATATATTTGAAATGAAAGATCAATTTCACAGAATTTCAGGGACCATGGAGGGTAAAACAAAGATATGGAACCAATGGACTATTTACCATTTTTCTATTTTATCGCGTAGGCACACAAAGACTTCAAAGGTAGAAATGTAAACAGATCCAGAGTACAAAACATTGTGCAAATCAGCAAGAGAAAGAAATGGTTGTTCTAAATCTACTACAGAAAGAAAAAATTTACAGCAAAGTGAAAAATGTGACTATTTTGGGATTATAAAAATACTAAGCTTATATAATATAAGTATATCAGTATCTTAGAACGCAAATATATGCATGAAAAATTTAAGAGGGGGGTTGAATATTAAGGTGTGAGAAAGGGTAAAATTACAAGATGTTGATGACAAGAACTCTACAACAAGAAGGTAAGTACGAAAGGCAGTCTTTTTACACCGGGAAGGATAAGCGAGTGAGAAAGGGAAAACGTAAGAATTTGTGTTGGTTTTTGACCTTTAGGGGTTTCTTGTTGTATTGTTGCAATTATTAAGTTCTTCTCAGCAAGACTTGGGAACAGTGCTTTTTCAGATGTGTCCAATAGACAAGTCCAACATGAAACAAAACAACGTCTTCATAAACCCTAAAAGAATATAATATAAAGGTGGGCCATGGG